CAACCCACGCCTTCCTTTGACATGGATTCTCTGCCTGGTCTCGATGGTGATTTGCCCGCCACGCCCTCATTCGGCGGTCCAGAATTGCACGAAGACAAGCAGACCCGTACCTTGAAATCTGCCAAACACCAGTAAGTCTTCTCATTTGCTGCCACTGACATCGTTGTCACTCACTCACTTCCGAAGCCCCACGCTTGATCTCCAGCAACGTCAGAGAGCCTCATCCGATGCCGACATCCTGAGCTCTTCGTCCTCTCCCACATATTCAGAAACTCGACAGGGCAGTTCCATTGGGTCTATTTCCGAGGCCTCGACTGCTCCCTCTGAGCACGCCCTCGCACCACTGCAAACACATGGAATTGCTGACTCGGCCGATCAGCTCGACACAGTCTGCGGAGACGACCCGAGGAGCTTCGACCTGCTCGCTGCAGCTCCAGAGGAAGACAGAGCACAGTACCAGATCGAAAGCCGCGGCGAACAGCTCTTCTCCCAGGATCACCTCAAGCAGATCTTTGCCGATCCCAAGCTGCTCTTGCATTTCACCAGCTTTCTCAACTCGCACAGGCCCCGCAGCTTGCGCATACTGACTTACTATCTCGACACTCTGAAAGCGATTCGTGCCATCAACTATGCCAACGCCATTACTGATGCTCTTGACCCTCTCCATGGCCATGACTTCACCAAGTCTGCTCCCCCTTCCACAGCCAACAGGGCACTGGAGGAGCGCGCACAGAATGCATTTGAAGCACTGGCTCGCGAAGAACTTCCTGCATACATCGCCTACACTTGGATTCAGGTTGTTAGCGTGAGTATGCAACGACGTATCACAGGCACTCTTGCTCCCCATCTACGGGAAGCTTCCGAGGGTTTAGCCGAGGTCTTCTGTCTTTCTGATCCCTCCCGCCCAGACAATCCTATTGTTTTTGCATCAGAAGGTAAGTACCATGACTCGCTAGTGCTCGAACAAAGCTCATATGTAACGCAGAGTTCCAACGTACCACGCAATATGGCATGAGCTACTGTGTAGGACGCAACTGTCGCTTTCTTCAGGGACCGCGCACCAACAAAGATTCAGTGCGCCGCATTGCTGAAGCCTGCAGAGCCGGCAAGGAACACAGCGAAGTCTTCCTCAACTACCGCCGTGATGGACAGCCTTTCATGAATTTGCTTATGATCGCCCCACTGCACGACTCCCAGGGAGTCGTCCGCTACTTCATCGGTGCCCAAGTCGACGTCTCTGGATTGGTCAAGGACTCTACAGATCTCGAAGGCATGCGTCGACTCGTAGCACGTGAGGCGGATCCCGTCGTCGCAGACGAGCAGGACGCTGCAGCCCGCAAGGAAGAATTCCAATCGCTCTCGGAGATGTTCAACAACTACGAATTGGGTACTATTCGCAAACACGGGGGTCGTATGCACCAGCCACAAGTCGAGGAGAGCGACGATGATGCTGCTTCGATCATTTCATCCCGACCACGCCTCGTCCTCACTGATCCTACCGCCGATGAGCTGGACCGCTCCACAGCTGCCATGCCGAAAACTGCCGCAGAGGTTGTCAAGGCCTCCATCCGCGATTCTGGCCGCCTGCAGGGCGTGTACCAGCATTACCTTCTCGTTCGACCTGCCCCTTCTTTGCGTATACTCTTCACATCGCCATCACTTCGTATCCCAGGTATCCTCCAGACACCATTCCTCAGCCGCGTTGGTGGATCATCCCGCGTTCGTGCCGAGCTAGAGGCCGCGTTCACCGAAGGCCGCAGTGTCACAGCCAAAATTCGATGGCTCACGCGACCGGACGCAGATCCGGAAGATGCCGATGGTGCGGAGGGTCGTTCGCGGTGGATCCACTGCACGCCCTTGCTCAATCACAAGGGCGCCGTCGGTGTGTGGATGGTGGTGCTAGTTGATGCAGAGACGCATGAAGGTGACGGACGCAAACGTTTTCGTGCTCCTCCATCAATACCCGTCAACGATACTATATTCTCCGGTAACCGGGTGAATTCGAAATCCAGCCGGCACAGCGAGGCATCATCGTCGGCTCTGGGAGAGAAAGAACGGCCTGTGCTGAACCGGAAGACCAGCGCTTCTTCCCGACTGACGATAGGTGGTAGTCCCGTCGTTAATGGGAGCATGTCGACATATATCTCGGGAGGTCGCAGTCGTCCTGCTTCTCCTTTGACCTCGCCGCTCACTAGTCCCACGAGCGATACATTCCGACGGAACGTGAACCACGTCACCTTTGATGAGAGGACCAATAAATTTTAACGAGCAAGACGAGAGCAGAGTGGGCGTTTGTAGGATAGATTTTGTCGCGTTTGAGTATGCAAGGTGGAGGAAATCCAACTCTGCCGTAAATAGCTATGTAGAAATATATGCCCATACCAAGAATCTTGTTTACACGGCAATGGTTTCGATGTCCTGTCATTCGTGCATTTTTGGCGACCAATAACTCCATTTGGCATTTCTCTTGTCGAGTCCAAAGGAGCAAAAATCTCATCGAGCGTCGCTATTTATGGTAGCCGCGTCTACAGATGTTGGCTCGATGCCCGGGCAATTCCTTCTCCCGTGGCTGACGTCCCTGACAAGGCTGCTACCACAGCCACGTTGTGCGTCAAAACTCCTCCATCACATCATGTCCTTCTTGATTCTTATCTCTTGTGTTACTGACAGGATAACCGAATTTTGACTTAAACGTTGCATTAGAATAGTCGACATCTGAACACGCAACATGCCACGAGAGAGATTCACGATATGGGAAGATCCCCCTACCGAGAATGGCGAACGAGACACTAGCAATAATACTGCCCAACAAGAAGATCAGACGGGGCGCCAGGAAGGTACTTTGGAGGGCACAGAAGACTCCAGTGCTCAGAACGGTCGACAAGCAGATCGAAGTGGAGACATAGCACCCACAGCACAAACACAGATACGGGATCAACTGCAAAAATCTCCCAGGTACAACCTTCGTTGTCCTTACTGCGACAAAGCATTCATACGAAGACACAACGTCAGAGCGCACATGATGGTCCACGAATCCACAACGGCCTGACCCAGAAGACATGAATTCATACAGCTGCTACCTAGAAGAACTCGACCAACGACAAGGCCCCCTCGCCACAAACCACCAAATCACTTCATCCTTGGAGCACGGTTCTCCTTACCAGGACCATCGCCATCCGGATAACGTCCGTGCTGGGCCCGCTGGTTCTCAGCATTCTGCGACTCCCGAGTCACACTTGGGCTAGGGGTCCTCAGACGACCGCTCCTATCCGGGCTCGGGGAGCGGGACCGGCCCCGAGTGGCAGAGCTATCCTCATGGATCTTGATCGGCTTCTTATCCTTGCTCCGGCGGAACATACGAGGAGCGCGGTTCTCCTTGCCAGGTCCGTCGCCATCTGGCTGGCGCCCAGTGCCAGCTTGCTGGTTGGCAGCGTTCTGGCTCTCGCGGGTGACGCTTGGGCTCGGGGTTCGTAGACGTCCACTGCGGTCGGGGCTGGGAGAGCGGGATCGACCACGAGTAGCGGAGCTGTCCTCATGGATCTTGATGGGCTTCTTGTCCTTGCTCCTGCGGAACATGCGAGGGGCGCGGTTCTCTTTGCCGGGTCCGTCGCCGTCGGGCTGGCGACCAGTACCAGCCTGCTGATTCGCAGCGTTCTGCGACTCTCGTGAGACGCTGGGGCTTGGGGTCCTCAGGCGGCCGCTACGATCGGGACTGGGCGACCGCGAGCGCCCACGGGTTGCAGAGCTATCCTCGTGAATTTTGAAGGGCTTCTTGCTGCCGTTGCCGCTCCGGCGGAGCATGCGAGGAGCGACGTTCTCGCGGCCTCCACCGTCGCCATGAGGCTGGCGACCTGACCCGGCCTGCTGATTGGCGGCATTCTGGCTCTCGCGGGAGACGCTAGGACTGGGAGTCCTGAGCCTTCCGCTGCGATCAGGGCTCGGGGAACGCGAACGGCCGCGGGTGGCAGTGCTGTCTTCATGGATCTTGATGGGCTTTTTGCTGCTGTTTCCGCTTCGGCGGCGCATGCGAGGAGCGACGTTCTCCTGGCCAGGCCCATCGCCATGAGGGTGACGTCCAGAACCGGCTTGCTGGTTGGCAGCGTTCTGGCTTTCTCTTGTCACACTAGGACTCGGAGTCCTGAGCCTGCCGCTGCGATCAGGGCTCGGGGAACGAGAGCGCCCACGGGTGGCGGTGCTGTCTTCGTGGATTTTGAACGGAGTCTTGCTGCTGCTTCCACTGCGGGCAACAAAGCTACAAGGGAAAGTTAGCGACGTGCAAAATGTACATATCGTTTCGTTCTTCTCACTGGTTGTATGAACGCTCTTGGACGGCGCGGGCTTGAAGACCAGCTTTGTAGCCCGCATCGTAAACTGCTCGTGCGTTGAGCTCTCCTGGCCTGTAGGCACTGACAGAGGCAGCACCGGCCGAAACAGCTAGGATGACTGGGAAACGCATGTTTTGGAGAAAGAAGAAAGAAGATTTGGTATGGAGAAGTAGGAAAAGTGACCTGCACTGAAGAATTGAACTGTTTGGTTTGATCTGAATAGCTCTGGACAATATGCCATCGATGGTCGTTTATATATCATGTTCGTCGGATATGTTACCATCACGTCTCCCGTCCAACAAATCAATGCACGATCTGTCCGTACTGCACTTGCAAGTGGGCTGACGCGTCTGGTTTCTATAACCATTGCAGGGCTGCCACCTGTGCCTGTTGGGCATGCTGATCATAACTAGATCGGAGAATTGAAGACAAGTAGAGGCTCCGACTCTTCTCCGAATCGTCGAATATAGAAACTCGCGGACATAAATTCATGACTCGAGGGTCAAGACGACACGTTCAGGCCACCACCCATAATGCCAAATCGCTTCTTGGGCATTCGGGCTGCGTCCCCCCGGAAGCGTCAGGCTCCGAAGTCGTAATTTAAATCTCCGAGACCCGGTGAGAAATTTTTGCGGTATATATTTTGACTAAATTTTCAGCTCCACAACAAGATCCGGTCTTGTGGCCCAATGGTTAAGGCGCCTGACTACGAGTGTATGTCATTCTGATTGCAATCAGGAGATTCCAGGTTCGACTCCTGGCAAGATCATCTTTTTGTATTTTTCCCCCTACTGCTCCCTCCCCTCTTCTCCTTTTTTCCATTTGCTTTCTATTTGCTCCTGACATTGAAGTCGACGTTGTATGTGTACCCTTGGCCAGATAATTCGACGTCCTTCCTTTTTTTCTCGTCTCACCCACCCGAAACTCCGGACTGCGGTTGTCCGGCGCGGTGCCAAAGTCACGTGCCATCTTCGTCTTCATTCTGCATTACATGTATGGCACATTTTCAATATGCACAAGAATCAACAACGAGAGAATCTGTTCAGAAAGGAAGGGGGCCCCAACTGGACTCTGACAGATTCTTGCTGCATACGTTGAACTACTCGTTCCAATTCCTTGTACTTGTCTTATTTTTCATCACACATCTCTGGTAAGCGACTTCGTCGAAATCCTGAACGAAGGCTGTGACAAAATCCTCGCCCCTGGTCAGCCGTCACAACAATGCCTAGCCGCTCCCCGTTTCCGCCTCGAGTGCCCTTTCCACCTTGTCAAGTCGAGCCTTCGCCGCCTCCCACTCCTGGCCATCAGAACCAAGACATCGCTCTTCGATCTCCAGTGCCTGCAATGCCCAGTCGCGCGCCATGCCAGCCCATCCGATCGCCAGAGCACAATCTGCGGCGAGTGCCAAAATCTCAGCACGGGTGTCGGCCTCATCGAGCTCCTCCTCAGTCATGAGCTCCAAGATCTCCTCGAGCTTCCCGAGCGCATTGGCATGGTCCCATTGCGGAACATTCGTCTTCTGTGAACGCTCAGCAGCATCACGCTTGGCACGGGAGACTAGAGTCTCGAGCTTCCCACGGCGATGCTCATTAGCCGAATTGCGGGACCGGCAGAGATCGCAGGTGCACTTGAAGCCCCAGTGCCGTAGTAGGCGGCGGCGTTCTTGCGTGGGGTGCACGATGTCGATATAACTTGTGCAGATTTCTGTGCCCGGGTCAATGTCGGTAAGTGCATGGATGGTCAGCCTATTGATGTAGTGGTTGTGACGATGGAAGACATTTGGACGACAGCTGTGATTCAGTCGTGCAGCTTTTGGAAAGAGTCCCATCTTGTTCCGTGCGCCATTCGAGGAGCGCACTGTGAAGCGATTGGTCTCGTAGATTAGCCAAGCATCGAGCACTCTGTCGCAAAGAGCCTCGAAGTCTTCAGAAGGCCCATCGTAGGAAGCGCGGATGGCAGGGATCCAATCCACTTCCTCGGCCTTCCGCCTGTAGGCTGCGAGTTCCCAAAATGCAGCAGCTCGCTCCGCTGGTAGCGCTTCCACCAATCGATACAAGTCGGGCAAGTCGGCCAATTCAGACAGGACGACCAGTGGCGATTCGCAGATGAGCCGAGTGCCGCGGGGAATGTGGGCGGTGGCAAACATGCCGAGACCAGCGTTTGGTGTCTTTCGGACTTCCATGAGATCGGAGCGATAGACCTCTAATATCTAAAGGTTAGTGGTGGTCGAAGCAGAGGATTGCTGAGTGAGACATCGTGCAAGATAGCATTTTATCATGTTGATGACATACCGTCTGTTTCACCTTTGCCATCCACGTCCATAGGCGAGTCCTTCTGTTCTGGCATTGTATCCTTAGACGATCTCTCTATCCCTTCCATGACCGTCGTCTCACATTCATCATGACCGCCATTTGTGTCCACAGCTCGGGACGCTGTGTCGGACCCGTGCATTGATTGTCAATGAGCCATGGTATCCGTCTGGTATCTGCAAGCACAACTCATAAAAGCCTACGGGCCAGGATCAAGACTTCAAAGGATGTTTGCTGAGAGTTGACGACATAATGATTGATACACGAGATAGCACGAAAAGGCGGTAAAAATCGCTCAGGGGTAACACAATCGAGGGTAAAGCTAACCACAGTTTGTCAGCATTGTGTTCACCTACCAAGAAGGGGAGGTGCAGGCCTGAGTCAAGGGTCTGGCTCTTTGCGTCAGGACACCGGAGCCAAAAGAAAAAGCTCTCTTTATTTTATTTTTGCTCGAATGGCAAAGGAGACGCTGGCCGGAGCAACTGTGGAAAGAACAAAGCAAGATCAAAACGTAAATCTGTAAAGCTTGCGGCTGGGCGAGATCTCGCATGTGATTGGATCTGAATGGGGCCGGAGATCCGAGCTGTGGGTCCCAGATTCGGGGCCAGATCGAGTCTGATTGCCCACCCGACAGTGTGGCTGCATAAGAACCTGGGACCCCTTTACACAAGTTTCTGAACGACGTCTCTTGGAGAACATGTTTGTTGACCGTGTTTGTCCGAGCCGCGTCCGGACAGGCCATGTAGCCTTTGCGACGTGCTCACGCATAGTCTGCAAACCTGGTCCTGACACGAAAGCGGTATCTTGGACTGCCAGCGACTATTCATAGCCGACCTCCAGGCCTCAAGACTGTCTTTTCCGGCTGCAATGCATCACCATCGGGACTGGCAGGTTCTACAAGAGCCATCCTCTAGAATGAATTGCTACCAGTGGACCTGTACACCGCCCCTACGAGCCATGCGTCTGACCCACGCATGCAAGTTTCAGTGACTGCTCAGCACTTCTTGCAGCCCGCGTGTACAAGCACGTACGTATCGAAGTATCGGCCAATTCTCCTCTCTTCCATCCTGTCGACCGGCTTGTGGTAACGTCGAAACAGAAATCCAAATCCTCCAGTGCTGGACCACACCGCCTGTGCGCCCTGCAACGACGCATACGGCGGCACCGGCCTGCCATACACAACGATGCTGACCATTTTGATCCGGGTATACTGCCCGCTCCGCGGAGCCTTGGTGTACTTATCGCTAGCCTGTCTAAACGGCATGGCTTGGCCAGAACCTGCACCTCGGCCTGACCGGCCCGCTGTGACGATCCAACCTGCTCGCTCAACAGCAGCGAATTAGCCGACGACTGATAAGTCCTGCACCTTGCGAGCAGGCTGTTGTGGTATTGTCGTTGGCCTATAGGCTTGGAGAGCTCGGCATGCACCGTTCGAGAACTGCACTGTGATCGGCTAAAAGTCCCTGGGTCGGGGACTGAACCGTTGACCGCCAGCATCCAGGGTCTACTCGAACGACCTAAGCATTGAAACGGGGCCGGAGATATCGTCGCCCAACTGGTCGATATTCATCCGCCCAGTGAGACCGTCCGACGAAGTGGCCCTTTCCACCTACAGTGCAATGACTGCACGGGACACTCTTCGGTTTGTCCTTGTATCGCTACCATGACAGCGTTCAAGGGTCCGTCTGATGACAGCACTCGCTTTGTTGATGCAGATAAGACGAGTCTGCTGTATGCTTCGCGAAACAGGCTCTGCGGTGACCGCTGCAGGACGCCTGCCTCGCCTCACGACTCCGCACTCACAGGATTTCGCGTAACGGGCCCTTTGGTCTCGGAAGGTATGGTGGCTCCAGATCAGCTATCAACTCTGTACACAAGAGCCGTGGCTTGCCGCGGATTTGATCTTGTGACTTTTGTGATCGCATTCGACATTCTCGTGGTAATTATGTTTCTACGACTCGATTTCTGGCCTCGATTTTGTACATCACAATGACAAGCTTGGCTACTTGGCTATCTTGGCACTTGTAATTCTCCTTCCCTGATCAGTTAGGCTATTGTACCATTGTTTCGTCAGATGGTGTGCTTATCTCGAACAAGTCTTGAGGCAGTCAGAGATTGGCAGCATTGCAGCTGCCAGCAATCGATGTGCTGCAATTCTCATCAAAGGCTACGCATGACTAATAAAAGACTCGACCCACAGCCATTTGCAGATATTGACCTTTCGGTGAACAACTTCTTCGACCATCCTACACCATGACGAATTCTGATTCTTGCATTATCGCCTCAGGAAATCCATAATGAACTCGGACGCACTGTGGGTTTCCTGCTTTCGTATCCTGACCCCTTGACCACTTTGCCAAATGTATGGATGCTTGGCGTAGGCTTCAAGGCCATGCTAAGCAGTGCCAAGAGGCAGGAGCAAGCAATCACATGAGACCCAGGGGGCCTCATGGAGAAGGTGTCAAGGTTGGAGTCTTGAGGGCCACCACGCTATGGTCAATCTTTGCATGGACAGTCATTGTACGAGGAACATGTTTTCGTGCCTGCTCGACTCCAGCCGAACTATATTTCACGGCAGACTAAATTTCCCGCATTGACGTTGACGAGGTCATATGAGGTGGAGTATAAGGCCTTCATTTAATTACTGTAGGTTACATGTACCTCTCTTTACCTCTTGCCGCTACTTGGCAGATCTCTACTGCAATAGGAAGCTATGAACGCTGTTTGATGGAGAGGAGAGAGCAATAATTGCTCTATAAAGCCTTTGTCAAATTCTGGTATCGTATTCGTTCCATCATTACTGTTGTGTTTCTTCCATTGATCTTGATTTCTTCTCATAACCAATTCGAACACGATCTCTACTGTTTAGCACAATGAAGGCCACTGCAATTGCACTCACTGCTTTGGCATGTGCGGCCTCAGCCCTGTCACTCGCGCTCCCTCAGCCGGCGCAGCAGGCCAATTCGCTTGCTTCCAACAATGGAAAAGTCTTGATCGAGCTTGATCTTGGCGAGCAGAGATGGGTCAATGAAGACGAAAAGTGGGAGCTGCGGAGGCAAGGAAAGAAGTTCTTTGACATCACCCATACACAAGACTTCAACGCAACTCCACAGTCCCTACTGGCTGTTGAATTTCCTCCACAAACAGCCTACGGCTCTGCGATCAAACCTCTTCTCAGTAAGCTGGACAAAGGACCGATGCAGACGAATCTGCAGAAACTCAGCTCCTTCAAAAACCGCTACTACAAGTCCACTACAGGGGCTCAGTCTTCTAATTGGCTGCTTGGCGTAGTCAACAAAACGCTTGCCGATGCCGGTGCTTTGAAAGCCACTGCTAAGCCCTTTGTGCATTCCTGGGGCCAGAACTCCATCATCGCCACGCTTCCAGGAAAGTCCGCAAAGACGATCGTCATTGGTGCTGTAAGTGCTTCAATAGCACACCGATAAAGTGGCTCTCCGAT